TATGTTAGATCTTAGCTATAATAATATAGGTGTTGAAGGAGGAAAAGCGTTGGCAGAGCCACTTTATATAAATACTATAACTACTTTAAATCTTTATGGTACTAGTATTGGTATTGAAGGAAGGAATGCAATGGCAAATGCTTCTCATAAAAATAATACTTTAATCTACTTGAGAACAGGTTTTTTTAAATAAGTGGGATTAAGTTTATTTAGCTGACACAAATTTAGATCCAAATGCTTTCTGAATATTGGTTTGAATAAGATAAATTGGTTGCCAAATATGCTTAAAGTTATTGGTTGATATCGACATTTTGCAAGCAATTTGCAATTTCTACCAATTATTGACAAAAACCAGTATACATTTAGCGCATTCAGTGAACAGATATTTGTTTTTTCATGACGAGTAGTATAATAGAAACGACGATATGAATGTTAAAAAATGATAATATTAAGGTAGATAGATATTATCATTTTTCTAAGTCGATTGTTAAAATCGATAATCTTTTATGTCATTAAATAATAAAACTGAGATAAGCAATTCAGAATGTCAATGCTAGGCTTGTTAATAAAAAAAAAACAAATATTTGATATATCTAAATTAAAAACTTCTCTAAGTACATGCACTTGGAGGTATGTGTTTGAAGAGGATGTGCGCTTATAGAATTAGTGTTTTTTTCTGACGTTGTTATTAAGCATACCTTATTTAATAACATATTGATTCTTTCCAATCTTAACGTTCGTATTTTTGGTATTGATTTATTGTTCATTTTTCCGATATTACCCGACCAAAATTATGTTTGATTGGTCGAATTTTTGATATTTATAGTGTATGAGCATAGAGGACTTTCATTTAATTGGATAATTTTCTATTATTTTGTGGAGTTATAAAACCTGATTGGTTAATACATAGAAATGAGTTCAAAGTACAAGATATCTAAATTGTAAAGTTTATTCATAATATTAATAATTTTTAACAATTTAATTGTGATAATTATTACTAAATACGTATCTGGTTAAACTTAATCTAAAAATATCTTTAAACTTGACGATTTATTAACTATTATTAGATGCATCTTTATTGACCAAATTGCTAACTACGATATATATAACAACAAAATAGTAAATAAATGTAAATTATTAAAAGAACAATCAACTAAACTATCAATAAGTTTAATGCACGCTCACATAGGGAATTAATAGTATAAAAACCTAACATTAACTACAGAACATAGTATGTATTCGTGCATGTTCTTTGCATATTCTATATTTAATATGTTGCAATTCTTAAAAACTTGGTCGACTAACCTATATTCAGAAAAAAAAAATCAATAAAACTGATTGTAAGCATTATTGTTTGTATCACTCTTTTTAAATTAATAAGTTAAAAAGACGCATCAACACTTATTAGCCAACATACGATTTTACCTTACTGAATTACCAGAATTAAAGCCTTCTTGCTTAATAGTGTGCATTTATAGAAAGTTACGTATAAACCCGGATAGTAACATATAAAATTTCATGAAGGCAGAGGATATGCACTTAATAGTAATTTCCAAATTCGGAACAAGTTAAAGTCTACATTTAGAGTGTGTGTACACTTGAGAGATTTTTACTATGTATAATAAATTAATCAACAAATTTGCACAGAATTATCTCAAAATTATGATTTATTTAAGCCTACTAATAACTCGTTGATCATTTCAATGAAGTCGATATTTGAAATGATTTTCAAATCGTGCTGGAATTGCTTTAAATATACGATCACATAAAAATACACCTTTAATACAATCAAACAATTCTAAGGCGACAAGTGAACAGATGTTTCATAAATCAAATAATAATAATTCCAAAAGAAATTCACCATTTCAAATGCCAAGCCAACTTTCTATCTTCTATCATAATAGATATCACAAGACATTCAATCGATATATTAAATAAATATTATCCATTGAGTACGTATTAAGTATGTTCCACATAGTGAGGTACGTATAACCTAAATTACAACTTTTTCAATTCTTTGTTAATTACAATGTGTAACAATAAATTCTACCTATTTAGGAGATGACTAATATGTAACAAACATAATCTTAATCTAGTACGATTTACTAAAAATATCATTACACGCAGTTCAACGCGTATTTGAATTACACGAATTACTAAATTGTATTTCAATACCAGTTAATAAGATGTATCACAAAAAAGTCAGTATATAATCATTATAAACCGACTATAGGTTGTAAGTTCTTTTTTCTTTGATTTCCTTCGTCTATAGCATCAATCCTTCCTTTTAAAAAACTACTGCTATTTCTTTTTTCTTTCCTTTTTTTTTGCAATTTGATATTACAAAATAAAGCTGGTACGTACATTGTAGAAAGAAAAAGTTTTCGTATTAAACGCAGTAAAATAAGAAATAAATGGATGCAGACGAATGGATGTCAAGTTATGCCTCATTACATGAATCATGCCAAAATATATCAAGTGGTCAAGTTGCCATAAGTCCAGATGGTCAACGGATTGTCACTTTTGATCCTATTACTTCACAAGTAAATATTTATGATATAGAAGATTTACAAACCTCAATAAAGTCTTTTGAAGTCGAAGAAGATTACTTTATTCGTGATAACAATCATTCAATAAATTGGTCACTTGCTATTTCCGATCCTATTTATAGTGACATTAACAATAATGGTATAAACAATGATCGATTAATTGCTGTATCAAAATTTGGACCTAATGACATGATTCCATTGAATAAAAAGGAGAAATATATACCAGATCATAAACAGGACATTGAGAAAGGAAAATTTGAGGGTAAAACCTGGATTATTTCTCTTAAATCACAAACAACAATTAGGCATTCTATCGGAAAAATTGGAGGAGTTGTTAGATTCCTTGATAATAAACATTACACTCTTTACGAAGACAGCACAACAAACAATTTTAATGACAATGGTATAACAATTGTGATAGTAAATGCAACAGGGTTATTTAAAACAATATTAAATTATTCAGATATTATAAAAGTTCAAAGGGATTCATGTTGGTATAACTTATTTCATAGTAATACTCGCATAGAAGAATTTTACCTTCCTAAACATTTATCAAGTGATTTAAGTCGTTTAGATAAAAGTGAAGCTTGTTGTAATCTACTACACTCTAGCACAATCAAAAATAATTTATTTGTTTATTCTTACAAAAATAAACATCAAATTATTGAAATGTACTCACTAAAAACCGGTGATATGGAAATGATATTCAAAAAGCGTGAATTATCCCATGCTCGAACTCCAAAAGGTCGAATTATTTATGCAATTTCACAAAGTGAAGCATTTCTTGCTTTTTGTAATGGAACAAATGCGATTACAATTTATTTAATGGAAAATGGATTAGAAATTATTACAAAGAGATTACTGGAAACTTCTGTAATGCAACGGATTTTATCAATTAATTTCATTGAAAATGATAGTAAATTATTTATAACATATGAAGAATTATGTAATAGTACTATTAACGAAACAAAAATTGTCAAATCATTTATTATTTGGGATTTGTTCACTACTTCATGTAATGCTATTAGAAAGGTAGAATTTACTAGTGATTTAATGTCACAATTAGATATTGATCCAATTTACCGTTTATTAAATTTTAATGGTACAATCTTGGGGGCAAAAAATGATAAAAATTTCTTTTGGATATTACAACATCCTGAGGTCAGAAAAAAGTTGTATCCGATTTCCGAAGATCTAAAAACAATTAATCTTGTAGATCGTAAGAATGAACATATTTCTTATAATATTGTATATGATACAAATGGTGATAAAATTGATACAGACCTTGAAAATTACAAAGTTATAATTAAAAATATCGAACCATGGCATAACAATAAATATTATCCACGAACATCTGTATATTTGGATAAAGCAGGTCATATTCAACTTATCATCGGACCTGATACTATACAAGTTTGGCGCCTTAAACCTACTTCAACAAACAAATGGAATCGTTCCCTTGAATATGCTTGGGTAGATGAAAAGATTGGTCTATCAATTGAGAAATTAAAAGTTAAATCTCGTGAATTTTTGTTAGATTTAACTACAGAGCAAGGTATTTACAGAATTTGCTGGCCGTATAATGTGAACGTTCTGGAAAGTGCTTGTAGATTTCTAAGCTTCATTATTGACAAGAAACATGAGATTAAGGGTAATAGTAACTTAAATAGATATCAAGAATTAATAGAATCGACTCAACGCCTAATTTATCGATTCATAAAGCAACATGGGATTTGGAGGCTTACTGATATTCGTTATGAAATAATGATTGATCTCATAAAAGCTCAACAATATTCCCTGATTAAATTAATATTGAACGAAAATATTGATGGAAAGAATTGTAAATTACATTTGCCTAGACGATATAAAGGGAATATGAAACCGAAAAAGACAACGGATTTGGAATTTGCAATCCCTGATCCCATGCGCAGGAATAAAAATTCTGCAATTGCGATTGTCGGTTATTTATTGGAGTATTACGTGGACAACGCATATTATGATATGAATTCTGGATGGTTATTTACTGTTACTAAGGCTATTCCTTTATTGTACGATAATAAATTGAGTATGTATAGGAAATTATTGTTATGAATTTAATCTAATTTATTTATTTACTGTATTTATTTATTTTATTTATTTATCTTAGATGGATTTGTTCAAAATTTATTCAAGAAACCATGTTTTGGAGCATTGGAAGCTGACACAAGTTCATTAAATATGACCCAGTATGGACGAACAACAGTAAGCCAGAATGATCAATTAGATGTCAAACCATTAGATTTTAAACCACAGCTCGTTCGAAAACCAAAAAGTTCTCTTTGGACTCATTTCAAAGAAAAAATCTTTTCGTATGTATAATGTGTTAAATTTTTTTTTTTAAGATAATAATACATTTAATAATACGTTGCTTTATATTTATTTAGAAAATGGAATACTACGGTAAATTCTATGATACCTAACAATTCAACGATTCAAAATCTAAATGATAAAAAAGTGTATATGGTTCCTCTGCCCGATTTTACGGTTTATCCATCAAATGTTAATAATCATTCACAAGGATTTATCACAACCTTATGGAAATTTATAAAGATCATGATTTACCCAAGAAGCCGTATAATCACACAAAAGGATTATTCACCTTTCTTACGTGTAATTGATAATGAAGATGACACAAAAGTGTATAATTGTCCATCAATAATCGCGGCAACAAGTTTTAAATGGATAAATGCAAGAAAATATTTTCTTAGATATTTCGTGATGTATCTTGTCTTTGTAATCTCATTTGGAGTTAGTGCTATAGACTATACCACTCACACGATAGCAAATAGCACAGTATTTATATCACATAAGGACACAATTTTGATTATTGCCGATGTAATTTCTCTTTATATTGGTTATTACCTATTTATGTCAGAAATGAAACAATTAAAGAGAGAAACGTTCGGTAGATATGCAAACATTTATAATTTCTTTGATTTGGTCTCAGTTATACTGCCAATTAGTATTGTTATTTTGAGAATATTGAAATACAACGACAAAGCAATGATTCAAGACGGCACGTTTCAGATTGCTACAGCTTTTACTATGCTGATAATGTACTTTCAATTGGTAATTTTTTTTTAACATTATTACTATATCGTTGACTTAATGTATCGTTTAAATAATATAAGTTACGTATTTACTTGGATAAATAATTAACTAAGTCTCTTTTTTGAATATTTAGTTATTATTATTAAGATACTTTAAAGCACCTGGACATTATATTTATATCATCACTAATATTTTGAATAAAATCTGGCCATTCTTTGCATTCATGTTAATAGTGATCTTTGGATTTGGTCATGCTATGTAAGTTAAATATATGAATATAATTATTTATATAATTACTTACATTATCAACCATTATCAATATTTTTCAGGTATATCTTATTAGGCAACCCAACAGTTGATCCTGTAAAATCACAATTTTCAGTTGACTCCTATTTAATTAAAAATGCTACAAATACATCCCAAATTCTTCAGCCCGATATTGTGATTCAACATGATGTAGATCCAACATCACCTTCTTCCAATTCTTTTTCAACCTTTATTACATCGGTTGAAGCAGTATTCTTTTGGACTAATGGAAGATGGGATCAACTTAGTAATTGGAATAGTACTGCAGTGGATGTTATGAGTATTTTGGGAAGTTTAATTTTAGTCTTAATTTTTCAAAATCTGTTAATTTCATTTATGAAGTATGTAATAACAATTTTGTATAATCATTTGATAATTTTTACTAAATGAATTTACTAAATATATTTAATAAATGTATTTATTAAATTCATTTATAATTATGTTAAATATAATTAATTAAATTACTAATACTTATTCATATAATTTATATATAGTGGTACGTTTACACAAGCTGATATGGCAGGTCAAAACGCTGCCCGAAGGTATAGGGCTGAAATGATTTGTGATTACGAAACTTTAGAAAAACCATTGGGCAGTAAAAGAGGAAATCCTCGGTACATTTATTTCATTGCTAACAATGATGCTATTGATAAATGGTTAAATGAAAATAAAGTTTACCAACAAAAATGTTTGCCAGCCCACGCCGAAAGTGATGACGATTTATTCAGTGATGATAGTGATAGCGATAGTGATAATGACATTGACGATAGTTATAATAATGATGACGATGACAATAATTATGGTAGCTTATATGATAAAAGTTCAGATATTAAAAAAAGAGATATTTCAAATGGTTCAAGCGATTCTGGAGGGTCTCTTAATATGAATGGCAGTCATTTTTTACTTGATGAAGAAAATTATAAATCAAAATCTACATATATACTCAAAACTTTTGACATTAATGGGAAAAAATTGAAAAATACATCAATTAAATTCCATTCAAAAGAAAATAGTTATGAAAATTTACCATCAACTGACGCTAATTATCATATTGATATGTTTTCTGCGTCACGTTCGAATCCACAATTACCCGTTCTCATCGAACAGAATCCTACAACTAATTTTGATATGAGTGAACTACTAGATAAAATTAGTAAACGACTTAAAACTTTGGAGGATGGAATGGGTAGTAAGGATAAAAATAAAAGTAAAGAGTTTGAAAACAGATTTAAGACAATGGAACGAAATGTTAACACTATTTTACTTAAGCTCAACCAATTATCCATTTGAATATTATTTATTGTATAATTAGCATGTATTATTTTTCTTGTTTATATTTATTGATAAAAATAAAAAAACTGATTTTTTATGTTTTTCTATGTATGGCATAGTTACATACACTAAGAACAGGCGTATAAAACTGCAATTCTCAGAATATATTTTCAACTAAAGTCGAAATAAGAGTATAATTATTGATTTGATATAACTTATATATTGCGGTATATTTAACATTTCTTATTACACAAATTATGTATGACAAATACATTTTCCCATGAAAAATGGGCTAAACGTTCTTTACATGATACATTTTCGCATAATTACGTTTACATACTGTATAAATACATTAGATTGTACAATGCTTACTGTTTGGATTGACGTTATTTTTCGTTTATTACTCCTTTTGAGCACAAGTTTGTATTGTCAGCGGCAAAATTGGGATGTGGCTCTACTAGAGGAGTTACGATTTGGCGAGTATATATTTATCTCTTCTTTTTTTTTCTCTTGAATTCTTATTTAAAAAGCGCTTCAACTAACTACTACGACTCTACAACGAATGACTACCGTATGATAACTATAGGGGCATTCGATCTTTCTAATTTGTAATTGGGGATGCGAAAGAAATTTTTTATTTGCATTTTTGGTTTCATTCGCATTACTAATTTGTTTCATTCTTTTTTTTTTGTTTTTCCCAACGTTTTCTATCATCCGATTGTTTTTCATGTCACAATTCTGAAACATTGTCGTGATGCTCCCGGGTTTGGCGATTACACCCTGCCAATTTTCGGGCAATGCATGCATGCAAATTTTCGTGGTACGATCATCGATTATGGTACTGTCGATCATGCTCATTTGGATCACTGCACATTTCCATTAAAAAAATAAGATAACTGCGCGACATAGTCGAGGAATGGGAGATGCGAGTATCGGTATTGCATTTAGTAAATATATAGGTTGTGCACTATTAGGCATGTAATGTATAGAGATGCTACGATCCTGCAAAGACCGTGGTCCGAACCGGTCTTTTTGCACCAGTCCAACCGGTTTTCGGTCCTAAATTGAGGACCGGGTCCAGACTAGTGATGTGCTCATGCGCATGGGAATATTTCGGAATTTTCGGAACATTTCGGAATCTCATAATTCTGGCCCGCATTAGCACCAAGCTACCATAATGCAGGCCAGAATTCCATGCGCATGAAATGTGAAAAAAGGCTAATTTTCCCATCACTAGTCCAGACCGGTCCATGGCTTATAGAATGATCTCATTGACTAACAAAAAAGAAAAAAATTTCCGATGACCGAATCTATAAGCTTCTAATTCATTAACTTATCGTTATTGATTTCGTCTCAGTAACTTGTCGATTCGGTCATTGGCAATATTTCCGATGATTTAAACTGTGATCTGTGAATACTTATATGCACATGACTTATGTGCACATGACTTATGTGCACATGACTTACTCATGTATTATCGTTATGATTCAAGGCCTGTTCTTTTTTGGCAAGATGATTTTAACATCCTTACCCGGGAGTCACGATGATAGCTGTAAGTCAAAAAACTGAAATGAGCGATACCGAATTTTAGATAATTTTAAATATAAAATTGAAAATGACAAATTTTATGCTAGACGATGATATTACAACCAATAACGGTATAAAATTTGTAGCGAGTTTTTAAAGTTTCATACTTGACAATGCTAAAATCGATTAATTTGTCTTTTTTATACGTAGTGTATATTAAAAACCACATAGCCTACTTTGAAAACCAGCCAATAGACCGTGCTATGGATCAGTTTATAGACCGGTCCAGTCCACGGTCCTTTGTTAGGACCAGTGATGTATGGTGGCGCAGATCTCCGAAGGACAGTAAATTTTTAGGATCATGAGGCACAATACATAATTGACAATTCCAACGAAATCACGATTGAAACGAGTTATAATATGACGTTTATATAATAGAAATAAAAGCCACACATAATATTATAGTAAATTTAGGTAATGATTATCATCACAAATGCATGCACACGTTAGCACACAAAGTTACAAGGTAGGAACATCCAATCAGATGCTCAGAATTGCTTAACTTGCCATTAATACTAGTGATGGGCAATACGCATGATTTTTATTAATACTTATAATGCTGGCAAAGCAATACGTATAATGCTGGTAGATTATCTAATTACTATGAACGGATTTATTAAAATGGTAAGTATTATTATTGTTATCACAATTATATATATTTAAGCGTATGAATAAAAACTTTATTTATTTACAAAACTTTTTTTCCCGATAATTACGAATACATATATTATGCGTTCTTTTTATCCGGAATTTTTAATAGATTCCGAAAAATTCCCATGTGCATTTCATGCGCATATATTGAAAAATTATATATAATTAAACATGAGTTTAACAGATGCTAAACTCTATTATGAGCTTGGAAAAATATATGAAAACGGCATTGGAATCGAGAAAGATAAGTATAAGGCTTTTGAATACTATAAAAAGTCTGCAGATATTGGTTATGCAACTGCAAATAACGACGTTGGATATTGTTATCATCATGGAATTGGAGTTGAAAAGGATGAAAATAAGGCATTCATTTATTATCAAAAATCTGCAGAGATGAGTGACGCTAGTGGAGCAAACAGTGTTGGATATTGTTATCAACATGAAATTGGAATTAAAAAGGATGAACATAAGGCATTCATTTATTTTCAAAAATCCGCTGAGTTAGGAAATGCAACTGCAAATAACAATGTTGGATATTGTTATAGTAAAGGAATGGGAGTTGAAAAGGATGAACATAAGGCATTTATTTATTATCAAAAATCTGCAGAGATGGGGGACGCTAGTGGAATATATATGGTTGGATATTGTTACGAAAAAGGAATTGGAGTTGAAAAGGATGAACATAAGTCATTCATTCATCATCAAAAATCAGCAGAAATGGGGAACGCTGATGCAACATATAAAGTTGGAGATTGTTACCTTAATGGATTCGGTGTTGAAAAGGATAATGACAAGGCGTTCAATTATTTCAAAAAATCAGCGGATATGGGGGACGTTAGTGGAATGATAAAAATTGGAGATTGTTATAGAAATGGAATAGGAGTAATAAGGAATATACAACGAGCCAATCATTGGTATCGAAAAGGAAGAAATATAAAAAAGATAAACAGACAAATTTTACTCGATGATTTAGATTATAATGATTCAGTTTATGAAGAATTAAAGAATATCTTGAATGACGAAAAGTATAAACTAACGTGGATTCCTTACAACGAATTTACAAAAGTAAAAGAAATTGGAAAAGGTGGTTTTGCAACTGTATATTATGCTTGTTGGTTTGATAAGAGTGAAGAATATTTGTGGAAGCATGTTGCACTAAAATCAATTCATAATTCAAATAAATGTAGTCAAGAATTTGTTGACGAGGTAATATTATTTATTATTATTTATTATTATTTATTATTATTTAATTAATTATTTAAGTTAAAGTGATTCAATTATTAATATTAAATAGTTAAAAAGGTATTGTGAAATTGGATACGAAAATCCATCGTTTTTAAAATGTTACGGAGTATCAAGGGATCCGAATTCAAAAGATTATATTATAGTTTTGGAGTATGCAAAGGAAGGATCTTTGCGTGAAAACCTTTCTAAAGTTGTAAAAATGGATTGGAAAAAAAAGTTATCCCTGCTGCATTGTGTCGCTTCGGATCTTGAATCTATTCATTCTCAGGAATTAATCCATAGAGATTTACATTCTGGAAATATTTTGCAAGATCTTTTACATAATGCGTATATCACTGATTTGGGGCTTTCAATATCTTCTGATATCAAACATAGTGATGAAATTTACGGAGTTATGCCATACGTAGCTCCTGAGGTTTTGAAGGGTCAACAATTCACCCAAGCTGCTGATATATACTCTTTGGGTGTTATTATGTCCGAGATATCTACTGGAAAAAAAGCATTTGATGGCGTCCCTTTTAATACTACACTTTTTTTAAAAATTTGTAATAAAAATGAACGACCAGAACTTGGTGAAGGAACTCCAGAGTGCTATGTGCAATTGGCCAAAAGATGTATGGATTCTGATCCAAATGAACGACCAACTACTACCATCATCAGTTCAAGAATCGTTTATTGGCTTGATGAGATTGAACAGAAGAATGATAACGAGATCAAAAAACAATTCTTAGAGGCCGATAATATAGTACCAAAAGTTGAAACATCGATTCATCCGAGTTATATGTATACGAGAAAACTGATTAACACAAAAAGGATAGATGAAACTTTAATAAATAGCTAGAATCTTTCAAACCATTATATTTCAAATTACGTTTATGTAAAAATAAATCTTACGAGGATTGAAAATAATTATGAATAAAACGTTCAAGGTTTCTCATATTTTTAAAACAGAAATTATTTTATATTGAATCAAAGCCTTCCTTAACTGGTAATCACATATATTTTTTAAAGATATTATTTCCAATTTTCAAATTCAACTTATTATTATAAAGTCTTATTCTATTAAAAGGTTCAGCTATCTATAATTTTTAAAGAAAATTTGTGCGATGTAATGGTACCTGATGAATGACAAGATTTTCGTCATTGAAACCTTTCGTCAAGTCAATTTTGAAATGACTAATTGACGATTAATGAACTTATAAGCCAGTAGAATTACAGGATCTTGTGTAACAACCCAAACAAAAACACGAGCTATAATCACGTGAACGGAAAGTCTACGGACACATTAATCGGAAATTCTACGGACAGAGTTTAGGGACAGAATATGGTCACGTGACAGAATATGGTCACGTGATATACCGGATAGCTCAAATCATGTGACACAACTACAAGAAAATTATTTTGATAATAA